GATGGAGCTAATTGTCAGACTAAAATTCCCCAAACGTTCCTTAAATCATGTAACCGCCAGTTCAAGAAGACGCGTCAACCGATTAGTTGTTGAGATTTAAAGAGGCCCCGGAAGACGTGTCAGCTATTGGCTATCGGGTACACCTGTGGAGTTAACCTCGATTGTTATCTAAAGGTACCGGGTTGAAATCGGATGCACTGATGAGGCTTTCAAAGACGAAGCCGAGTGATGGCAAATACCACCGGGCAATGTTTATTCATAATGAATCGCATCCGTCAAATTATTAATGTTGTATATAAACTATACAACATGATCCCCAGTCATTGCCAAATTTTATGAAAACTTTATGAGCTCCTGTTCATGCTGTTGGAAAATATGTACTTTCACTTAGACAGAATGAATAAAGTATGCAGCCTGAAAACTTTGAGTTTAAGTGGAACAGCCGATAGGGTTCCGAATAATTCGTTAATTCAGAAACTGATTAAAATTAAAGGCGCCCTACCTTCAAGTATACAATTTGGAGGGGGCGTGAGTTGCTACCAAAGGAGTACAAAAAGAATATTTTAGTGCACGTCTCCTGTAAAATATACTTAAATTTATAAGGGTAATGAAAACCAGTAAGTAACGTGCATACCATTTAAACTAGCATTTTACAGAGTATGCTTTTTGCAGACGGAAAAAAGCTCATTTAAAAGTCGGTATTAAGCCGTTACTGATTTATCTTAGGATCTGACTGCATAATAGTCCCCATTACAACCACACGTAATTTGCTTGAATCTGAAACAACTTTTGGACTTTCCGTTGACGTTTCATTAGAAAGGCAATCTAATATAGCTCATAAAACGTAACAGAAATACACTTAAGGTTTTGCATTTTATTAGCTCGTACAAGTGTTCACGAAAATGTTCTTATTGCATGCACAATATATTCTTAAGAAATGTTTTCCGGCAAATTAATTTTAAATCGAGGTTTAAATCAAAGTCACTTTATACTCAAGTAATTGCTTATCGTAACGACTACCCTAGACAAATTTTGCATATCAGCGCCTATTTGCCTACGTGAGAGCAGAAATAAAACTAAGAATTTTAACCAAAACAAGCATCGCCTTTCAGACGAAACAGGCTACGGAGCAGTTTTAAACACGTTGATAGTTATGTAGCAGACAATGGATCTTTAAAAGTATCTAAAATGCTGAGTGGTCAGAAAAGTAGATACGTTGACTCTAATCCGATGAAACAGAATTTGTCACTTACAGCAGTAGTATAAATGATCAGGGTGCAAATTCTACAGAGTCGGGTATTTACAGAATTGATTATGGTAGGAAAATAACGCACTCGGGATAAAATAATCACAGACTTTACGGAAGACTGCATTACCTGCAGGGGATTAATGTCGGTGATATTGTGGTTCTGAGTCCCGGTGTTCATCTTTCGGGTCCATCTATTTACAAGACTTCCGAAACAGTTCTGGAAGTTTTTAGCCTCTTTGACATCGGCAAACGCCAGTCCCATGGGAGACCGTTCACCTTGAAACGTGTGGAAGTTTGGTGTCAAAGCAGTGTACCCCATCTCTAAGAACATGGCCTCTTCGTGGAGTTGCGAGAACTTCTAGAAAAAGGATATGGCTCCAAGATACGCCAAAAACACGAACCACAATATCATAGACCCGAACAAAATAAGACTTCCGGAAGCTGTCTTTTTCGATAGTTGCCACTCCACAGTGGATCTGGCGCCAACTGACAGAACCATCTGGAACGTAGACGCAGACTACGGCCGCGCAGGTGGCCACACACTTGACACCCAGGCTAGCAAGAAGCCGCTGATTTTCATCTTCTGACAGCAACTGACACACAACAGGCTGTTTTAGGACGGACTTCAAGAGAGGAAAAAATATCAGGGAAGATATAAAAAGCAGGCAAAATCTGACATACAATCGCAAACGAAATATTCAAATAATTCCTGGATCGCTTGGTACGCACAACTCATGGCAAGTATTTTGAGGAGTGTGTCAACAATGAAAACCTTTTGGTCTGAAGGTCAAACAAGGTTTACGAACATCTTTAAGTTGAAAGGGTGGAAGACAAAGATATTCACCCCGAGTTCTGTGAGACACGTTTACACTTGCCCTCCGGCATTATAAACGACTTGAGAGGAGATCAACGGCATCCATAATGATTCGGAGATTCCATTCCCATATGTCTTCAAAATAATTTAGAAATAAATCTCAGTAGTCTTTTTGCTACTTGAAATAGAGCAGAAGTTCTCAGAAATAGTTAACTAAATAGATTTCCGAGCAGTCCGGAGGGAAATTCCAAACAAGAAAAAATGGAATAAGACGGAATCAGCATCAATCGTATTTACAAACAACAAAAGGAGGAGCTAAAGTCTACAGTCGATTCGCTCGAAGCCGTTTTATAAATCCGGTGATAAATCGCTTCCCTCCAATTATAGGCCA